GGCGGGGACGGGGCTGCCCCGCCCGCATCCAGGTGACAGCTGCAGAAGGAACACAAGCAGTGATAATCCTAGATTCACATTTTATAAGAAGGACTTTTGTCCTGTAGGTACGTTTCTGATATGCTGCAAAAATGTTGGCAGGAGCGACAGGCAAAGGGCAGGAGCAGTATTCCTATCAACCCCTTTCCCTCTAGTAGCAAGGGAAATTATCTGAAAGCACTTCTGGGCTTTATTTTGTGTCCAGAGAGCTGGACTCAGTAGGGTACAAGGGGAAACAATTGTTGCCTGAAGTTTTCTGTTAGTGTACCAATGAGAATTCAGGTGCTGAACTGAGTTTCACATGACGTTATGATGATAATGTCTCTCATATGTGAAAACAGCCTTTAGTTACATGCATAATCATAGTATGAATTCTACTATCAGTGGAGACAGATACAGAATAAAGGGATTTAGGTATTTTTTCTCAATCTTGTAAATCATTATTTAAAATAATACTTGAAAGTATGGCATGAGTTTGAAACAAGGATTTTCATGTTTTGTCTATTGTTACTTACACTTGTAGATTCATTTTCTGATTCTGCATCCATGGGTTTCTTAGCAACTTTCTTTAATAGACAAAATAGACAGAGATTAGTTTTGTTGGGTGATGACCAACGTAAATTCCTGCAAACCCTGTTCTTTCTAGACTATTTAAATTTACCAGAAAATCTCCCTATTTTCCTACAATAAGTTGGGCAAAGTTTAGCCAGAAAAGTGATTGTATATACCAAAAATAGTAGTTAACACCAGTATGTATGAATTGTTGTCTTCTGCCAGTCTCAGAATTCCTTTAACAATAGTTTAGTTGTATGTGTACTTACACAGTTTCCTGTTGAGAAAAGGAAACAAACCACCAAATTCTATTATGTGCCATTAAAATAAGAGCCATGCTTCAGCTTCATGCAGCAGTCCTCCGCTACTTGAAAGAATAAAAACCAATCTTGATTATCGTCCTCTGTCTGTCTCAGCACTTGGGTTAGGTATGTGCTCTTCTCCAGAGCTTGCAGTACCACAGAAATGGCATAATTTGGGCAGGGCATGACTCAGGTATCTTGAGTTTCTCTCTTTAATGTGTCCACCAGGCAGGCAATTGCCTGTGTAAGAGAGGGACCTTGGTGTTACCTCAGTTGCTTGACTCAGTATAGACTTTCCCCAGAAAGTGCAGGAAGTCTTCATAAGACTTAGGCATATATGTCATCCTGAAAGTCTCACACTGTGAAACGTGTGCAAATTTATTATGCTACAAGTGACCAAAATTCAGATCATTACAGTACCCCAGAATGTATAACCCTATAGCCAAAATAAGAAGTAAAAGCATTTTTAATTAATTCCTTCCTCCTCCCCTCCAAAATAGTGATTTTTTAAAATATATTTATATGTATTAAAAAATAGGCAAACTCCTTTGGTTCCTCTGCCAAGTTTTCAGAAAAAAAAAAAAAACATATCTGTGGAATAAATTCTCAAAACTAAAACCTAAGTTAATCAAAGACAGATCCCTAAAAGAATTAAAGTCTACAACTTGCAAAGAATAGGCAAGAATCAACCAAGTGCTTATCAGAGTACCAAAAGGAGGGCAGGTTTTTTGTTTGCTTGTTTAAACTGAAAAAAAAAAATAAATCCTTTTATTTGAAGTAATTACACTTAGAGCTCTGACACAGGATGTTATGGGTACTTGTGCAAAATTTGATTCAAACCACAGCTTGACAAATCAACAGAAGATAAAAGATCAGTAGCTTTGAAAAACTTTTCTTGTTAAAGATTTGGAAACTAGGGTACTGGAGATGTATGCTTTGGGCATTAGAAAAGAATATTGAGAGCATGTTATGCTAGCAATACCTATGCCTATGAAACTTGAGAAATTTAGGGTAAACAGGACAGGGACATGTATGCAAAAATTAGGGGCTATTTATACTCAATTTTGTATCTTCTTTTGAGAAAGATCAGGAGAAACACTAGGGTTGCCATGCAGAAACAAAGTCTTTCAAATACAAATAGAACACACAAGCCTATCAGTCCCTGGGAATGATATTCAAAAGCAGAATTTGGAATTTGGAAAGTCCAGTTGGGTATCTACTTGGTATATCTGCCTCTGAAAAACCTCCCTCTGTAGATTCAAAATGCAAGCCTTCAAAAACATTAAGATCAGAGTAAAGAGCAGCAGAAACAGAATTCAACCTTTAGTACAAAATTTTATTCCCTTAATTGCCAATGTAACTTTTTATTATGCTTGTGTATGC